ATAATATATATATATATATATATATATATATATATATATATATATATACTAATATTTTATAACTAATATATTTTTCAGTGAATGGGGTTGGAATTTGACAAACAAGACGAGAATTTTACCTGACCCTTTATATCGGTCGAGAAGGACTATTGATTTAAATTTAAAAGAAATAACATACTCGCACGTAACACATGCTGTTGTGAAAATAACTCCAGATGATTTGAAGAAAAACAATCAAGTTACAGTCAACTTTGATTCCTATTTTTACAATAATCGAATCGAATCTACAAGAAATAGATTTTTACATCCTAAATATCTCTTTGGCTTTCGTGGACCCAATTTGATTGAAACCGTCAAGGGAAGTATAAGATACCATGTAATACTTCCTAACATCATGGATGCAGTTGCGATTGAATTAAAATCACCAAATTGCAATAAATATCACGCCATTGTCGAGTTGCTAGAATCATGGAATGTAGGATCGACTCAGTCAAAAATCTTTACGAATGTGTAAGTGTATTTATTAATAAAATGAGCTTTATATAAAACTCTTCTTTACATTTCATTATGATGCAGGGATGATGGCCCAAAAACAATGAAAATACAAACACTCTACGGACGTCCTAATGAAATAGCAAGTTTAAGAATTACATTGGAACCAGAATGTATTTATATGATTAATATTCAACCTGGAGGAATCATCGATAAGATCTCTTGTAGAATACGGGATCGTTGGCCGTTGCTTTACTTGACAGTTATCAGTTTACTTCTACTTTTCGTTTCTATAAGGATAAATTATTCGGACATATTACCGATGATATTCGTTACTATGATATTGTCTTATGTCTTCAACGTTATGTATGAAACCGGTATTGCTTTCTGCATTATTGCTATATCTGCCATTAGTGTGTGCTTCTCCGTTGTATTTCTTGGTTCTGTTGTACAAAGAATAACTGTCAGGTATGACTTTATATTTATATAAAGTAAAAATATTAATATAAAATAATAATAACGATATATTCTTAATATTTTCATAAATCATATCTAAAAATATATTTATATTTTATAGATTCTTGGCACGTGCAATAACATTCTCAATAACATGGTCAGATTGGTTATTGAACGGTTTAAATCAGCTACCATTTATTACAACTGTTCTCATACTATCTCTAATTCCAACAACGTGTGGAGCTCTTGCCATGTTAATTTCAGTATTCTTTTACTTTCTTAAATTAACAAGGATGTATGAAGATTATTTAGAAGACATACTAGTGGCTCCATTCCGACAGTTTGCTTGGTTTCAACGTTTGAAGGGTACAACAAATGAAGAAGAAAACGATAGAAGCATCAGTCAAGAAATATACAATCATCTTCTCTTATTCTTATTGTATAGTTTTGCTGCGATTCCAGCAATTCCATCTGTCTTAGTTTGGGCGAAAAATTTCAGGTATTATCTGTGTGTAAAATCCTCGATTTAAAACTTTCATTTTCTCATTACAATAATATTAAATTGTGATAATGGAAGCAATAATATTAATCGACTCATAATTTTATATCTATTAATAGAAAATATTCTTATTGCAGCTATGATATGAGACTCAACACAGAAGATCCTGTTCTTTTGACAAGTTGGTCAATATTAGTTATATGCAGTACATTAGGTATACAATTTTCTCCTAACCATAAAGGATATCGCTCATTTGTATTAAAATATATATTATGTTTCACGAGTTGGGTCATTCTTTCTATGACAGCAGCTCCGCGTCCGTCCTTTTATCAATGGTACATGCCACCTATTACAGCTGCAATGGTAATACTCATCACACTAAATTCCATGATTCCTTAAGGATCGTTTCATAAAAAAAATCGCATGCGCGCGGCAGAAATTATATTTATAATGTACAATAATTGGAAGAAAATTATGTTTACAATTCTTCTTATATCGTTCATCATTCGTTTCATATAAAAATCTAAGTTCATAGCTATGACAATACGCATTTGAAATTTGCGTCATACGCAAATATATTTACATATTTTCATTATTATAAATTAAATGATTATAACAGCATGCTGTGACATATAAGTATTATTTTATAAAAATAATCAAAATTACATACTTGGGTAACATAAAATTTAGAGCAATTTGTTTACTACATATCACATGAACAATGATTACGAGATAGTCAAAATATTTATATAATATGAAGGACTCAGTTCTTAATTTGTGATATATGTGATATATAAGATAAGTTTTGTTGAAATTAATATAATTTGTTAGAAAATTTAGTCTTTTATTTAAAATATTATTTAATAATTTAATATCACTATTCAATTATATCATCTATCATTATTTTATATATTTTTATAGTAACTTCAGTAACAAAAAAATTTTTATTTTTTATACATTTTCCGTTGCACACTATTGCTACTAAAATGTCTACTATCATTCTAAATAATATATAGTTTTTTTCTATAAAAGGTTTATTCCACAGACGAACTTTCAACGTTTGTATTTTCTACACTATATACACATATCTGCTTTTTAGTAATGGGATGTACTCCATAATTTGCTACCATGCCCATTTGATGGCGGAGAAACTCTATTGTTTTTGTTGCTAAAATTTTATTATTTGCATGTACTTCTGAATGTTGCATGAATTCATTTACCTAGAAAAATAATAGAAGTTTGTAATTTGAGCAGTGACATTTCGAGATACAATGTGTTGCACACCGCAATATATATTTTAATGTTATATCAAACAAATATAATATTTGCAGATTTTGTTAAAAATTTATGTACAAATTTAATAGAAATATAATTTTGGATTTTTGGCTATGTAAGAAAAGGATTTTATGATGCAATTTCTACCTTCATCCATTGACATTCCAAGATCTCTCGTTTACATTTTTCAATTTCAAAATTCTGAGGTGTTAAATATGCGATCATATATATATCCGAGCATCCAAAGGAGTAATCGTGTCCATGTCTAAAAGATATTAAACATTTGAAGTTGGTCTGAATTCCCGTTTCTTCCAGAACTTCTCTCTTAGCTGCTGCCTCAATATTTTCACCTGACAATTAAATATATATGTATATATATAATGAAATACTATATACAAGATGCGATAGCTCTTTAAGATACCTGGTTCCACGTAGCCACCTGGAAGTTTCCAACTTGCTTTAACAGAAGCATTTTTCAGAAGATATTTTTCTTTAATAACAAGAATTTCATCAGTGTCCTTGTTGAATACAAATGCACCAACACCTAGAATTGTATGTGCATATTTTGGCACATTACAGTCCTCGTTGGTTGGCAACCAACGATACAACATGACATATTCTTCTCTTGCATGATGGAAGACAAATCCATGTCCTGTTAATATCGGAACCCACTCAGTATGTGGTATGTGTACACGAAACCATATAGTACGTTTGTTGTCTTTTGTCCATTGTTTTAAAGAATCTATAAAAACATTTATAATTTGCTTAATATATATATCTTAATGATATTATTCTAATCTTTAAGCTATTAATATATTCTGTCATAGCATGACGATTTATTTCTTTAACATAAATAAAACTGAAGAATAAGAACTCTTTGAGCAAACGAATAAAGAACCATAAATACTATCATTTCATTCTAAATGCATGCTTTTCAGAGACGTCAGATTCATCCAACTTAAAGAGAACAAAGGTTCTTTAAGACTTCTTCCCATTACTTCAATTCAATATATTCCTCTTATAATATGCAAAATAATTATTTGTATTTAGAAATATAAGGGAAATATAAGAAACAAGACAAATGCGTTTCTACCTTTAAGACGCTGCGTGAATACTTTACTGTCGCAGGCCTCTTCAACCGAGTCGACCGTAATACCATTATAGTGATCGCTATGACCATTGAAGATTTGTTGGGTCATCGCGGCGTGCAATGTGCTCAATTGTCCGATACGCGTGCTGTGCGAGAGGAAAACTATGAAGTCTCGCGCAATCAACGTTCTCGTAACGCGAAACAATATCGCGCTGTGCATCGAATATGGTCGAACGATCATATGCCAAGATCCACGAGATTCTTTTTTATCAAACCATCATTATGCGATCTTGTCCCAGGACTGATAACGGAGATCGAATTATCAAACTACACGCGTCACGATCACGCGTAAGTAACGTATCGAGGTATTTTTCCTCATTTTTTTACCTCTGTTTACGTTGTCCTTCAGTGGCAACGTAACCTCGATGCATCGAGTCTTTGATCAAACGTCATATTTTTCGTCTTTTGCAAAAATGTCGAAATGACTTTCATCAAGATCGATGACTTGATACAAATGTGCCGAGTGCAATTAATCGACGTTATCGCCTATGCCTAAACATTAAAGACATTATTGTAGCCAATCATAGTAATCCAATGAATCTTCAAACGCGTTGAAGAAATTCATGGAGACAAGATGAAAAATATCGTCATTAATATCGAGGGCGTTGATGTGCCAAACTGTTAAAAGTTACGTCGATATTACAGAGATTCAAATATATCTTCAGTATTCAGCGCGAGATTTCGGGATTTTTTTATGAAGAAATAGAGGTTATAAAAGATGAAAATAAATACATCAGGATGTAAATATGTAAAAACAGAGTTATTAAACGAAACATTATTAAAAAATAATTTTATATTATACAGAAGAGGCAACATTTTTCACATGTGTTCTTAATTATCGTTAACATACATTCATGTATTAAAATACATAATTTTACTTGATTGCTTAATTTATTTAATTTACAATATAAACAGGTATCTTGTATCTACATATCAGTACATATCAATGAATTAATTAAAAGTTATTTCTAGCAAACTCATATATTTTCGGACAATGTTGTCTAGCCACTAATTTGTAGGCCGCTATATTATCCGTTTTAGCATCCTGATTATAATCTTTCCACAGATGGATCGCCATGGCGTTTTTTCCTGTCTTCATCATTTCTTCCGTTCTTGTTGCATTCAGAAAAATATTATGAAAGTCAGAAGACGCAGGATAAAATTTCTCAGGTGGATAAATCATGAATTGTCGACATTCCTTATCTTGCCGAGAAAGAATCTGTAAACAGATTTGTCCAAATTAGGCTTAACTTGAGCAGCTAATTTGGTTTTATGAAGTCATAAGCGAGAAGTGATGTGTAGTAATTTTCTTACAATGTATATTTTGTTATACATACAATGTATAATTTGTTTTTCCCTTAAAAACATAATAATTTCATGGTTTTAAAATTTGTACAATATATAGAAAACTGAAACATCTATCGGATCTGTCACATAAAAGTGTAAAATAATATTTGAAATAATGAAGTTATTTTTCAGCCATATTCAAGCGACGTGACAATTGATCATGGTTGAAGTATGATTTGTTATTTTAGAAATTATTTTATACTTTTGACAGATCGAACAGAAAAAATGTTTTTCATACATTTAATAAATTTCAGGATCACGAAATTATATTTTTAAGAGAAAATTAAAAAATAAAACTATACGTCGCAAGAAAATTATTGCACATTTTTTGCTTATGACGTTATAAATTTGCATTGTTTAAAAAGTTACTTCATTAGTCACGCACATCAATTATACGATGTGTCCTGACGTGACAAGATTATCAATCGTCGAGTAAGCACATAATGACTCACAACATACGCGATGTAAAAAAATTTTGTTTTATAAAATTCTAAAATTTTTTTTTAATTTTTATTAATTAAAGAAAAAAGAAGAGAATTATAAATACGCTGAAGAAAGTGACTGTTAATTTTTTAAGACCCAATTGTATCAGTTATTTTGCAAACGGGGCTAAGTAAAACAAACGAACAATATTTGTCAACAAGATATTCATTAGCGATATATCTGTCAGAAATCAACGCCGAGATCAATACCGAGATAATTTTTTTTATCGATAACGTTACTTTTTATGACAAGAGAAGTTTGTTTTACACTCACGTTTCGCTGATAACAGAGTTCCTGCACAGCTTTGGTCACGATTCTCGTGATGTTGTATCTCGAATAGCTAGACGTGTCTATACTTCGAATGACTTCCATACAGGCGTCGACGAACATCCTACCGAAATTCGTACTGGTGTCGACGCCAAATACACCAATACCCATATCTCGGTCGTCCTGCACGCCCGCGAAAGTAGTCAGCTCGTCCAACGATCTAAATGCAAATTCTTATTTATTTATTCTTTTTTTTTTTAATGCATCTGTCGTTATAGATCGCAGCGAATTTGATAGACACTGATACTAACTTGTCTATCCGCGTAAAATATCATGGAACCCGACAGATTTTAAAATACATCTTTATACTTGATATTAATGAGAAATTTAGGATAATCATCATAATTCCATCTGTTGTTGCTGAGTTTACTTTGAAGTCTTGAGATAAGAGATTATCGGCCCAACTCACGCCAGTATCACGCTGTCCAAATTCAATGCCACGCCGCCGAACTTCCATAGTGTCAACATACGAAGATAGTCATGGAAGTCTTTGTATAGCCAGTCGTGATTCTTCGAAAATTCCCGGATATTTGCGGAAAACCAGTCTTCTATCGGCGTATCGATAATATATGTCGACAAACGTACTCTCCTTATATACACATTATCGTAAGTCTCTAAAATCTCAACAAATTTCTTGGATTTTTTAGAGAACTGCCCCGTCGCGAAGAAAAGCAGGAAAACATTCAAATTGCGATTATTTCTAGCCGCTGATTCCACAGCGCAGGCTTGTCGAGGTGTGAGATTCGGCGGTGAACATGTGGTTTCATGGAAGAACAGACATCTGCTTGGTATCAACATTTGTTCATCTGAAAATTAGAGAAAAGGAGGTAATATTTACTTAAAAAATAATTTTAAATGATTGCAATCCTTAAACTTAGAAAGTAATTGAAAATTGTGATTTTGAAAAAACTTTTATATTTTATTTTTTAAAGTTATAATATAAAAATAACTTTATCATTATGTAAAAATAAATATATTATACTTAAGGGATTTTTCCGAATTATAATTGATTTTCGATTTTATTTTTAAAAAAGCTAAATTATTCATTAAATATTTAAAAAATACTAAATAATTAATAATTTCCTATTTATTATTCGAGAAATTAATTATAGGAAATTACATAATTACAATTTATAATGACATTTTTATTTTTGCGAATATTTTACAGTAGTTGGCATAAGTAAATGATTACGAATTAGTAGCATATAGATCAAGGATAGTAAGGGAACGCTTTGGTTAAGACTGGTTAGTTGATTATTTTACGATGTACTTTTTTATGTAATCTATAATTTTATTTCTTAAAAAGAAATAAAATTTCTCTCTCTTTCTGATAAATAAAATTATAACTTCAAAAAAAAATTAGCTTTAACGTTGCATTGGTTCTATTGTAAAAAATGTGAATTACGACAATTAATAGATTACTTATCATAAGTCATGCTTTATCAAAGATAAAGTTTTAAAACGTCTTAAGAAGAATGTAATGATAAAAAAGACTTTACAAAACAGAAAATATATGATATATATATATGTATATATATATATATATATATATATATATATATATATATATATATATATATATATATATATATATATTATTATTATATAT